TGAGGTTAGAGGATTTCCCGAGAGAATATAGTCGTTTGATTGCAAGTATAAGCCGTATTAATATTATATTATATATATACACATTAATCGGTGAACTCTATTCGCATATACAGGGCGATTCACAATTATTAATGATTACTCCATTTTCCCCTTAAATGGTGAAATTATTAAATTTCTAATTTTCGGATCTCTTAAATACTAATTTTCCTTAAAGAATATCTTTCATAAAAAGGTATAAAATAAATGCAATATTTAATATTATATTTTTACTCTGAAAATATTTATAAACTAATAGACTAATATATTAACTGGTATAATTCTAAAACCACCATAGTAACCCCGAATTGTCTAAGCTCACTATCATTAGTTTTCAATTATTAATAAATAAAAATCACTCGTTAAAATTTCAATTTCAATATTATGTACATCACAAGTTTAAAAAAAAAAATTCTGCTCATAAATATTAATACGAAAAAAGGTTGATTCTCGTTTGAACAAATTAAGTTAGTATTTCTACGTTAAGACATTCCTTGAATGGTATAAGAAATCAAAAACTTGGTCCCTTTGTGAGAAAAACGTGGTACTTAAAAATTCCAAAAATCAGAATATGATTAAGTTCCTAATTAATGAAAAATAGGGATGCTCATTGAGCATAATATGCTTGTTGAATCACTCTGTATAATAGATGTATAGTGTATAATATGGTACGGCGGAATGCTACACTATCCACCAGGTACGTCGGAGCAAAGGCCCTAGATCTCAAGTCTCAAAGTTTGTTCATAATATAAAGCGCAATAATATATTGTGTAATTAATACTAGGGATTGGAATAAAATTACCGGAACCGAATACGAATATTGTTTTGTGCTGAGATTAATCGTGGTTAAAATTACTTATACGATACATAAAACTCGAGATCCTACATGCTGCAATTGATGGAATGTAGTTAATGTTGACATCAGAGATTCAAGATGACTTTCCACAATAAAATAATAATATAAGCGTACAAGCGTATATTATAATATGCTATTACTAATGCTCTGGTTGAAACTCATAACAATTTGTGTAGCCAATAAATCAAAATATGTCCTGGAGCCATATCGCTGATATTTGTTTTTATTTTTTGTAATCGATGTAGGTAATAGTATTAAACTGACGACAGGTCCTTAACAAGTTTTCATTTATTTTTCAACATTTATCAAACACAATTATTATAATATTGTAAAAATTACATTTTTGTTTTATATGTTTATATTACCTAAACACATAATATATAATAAGTGGGTTAAATTTACAATTTGGTTACCTCTGTGTGAACCAGAAAATATATAATTGTATTAATTAAAACCGCAGGAAAAATAATCTGCTTTGGTTATGGACAATTTATGAAATAAATATAATAATATGTATGGAATATCATTATTATCTATTAAAAAAAAATAATAATAATAATAAACAACTTCTAATACCTAGTTTACCCAAAACGAGCAAAAATGTTATGAACAAAATTACCGAAATCAATGAAGGAAATTATTAAACCGACTGATAATTTACTGAGAAAATCCCTATTAATACTTAGGTATTAGTTATTAAATTAGGACCTGTTTAAATCATCTTGTACAATGCATATTATAATATTATTATACGATACTGTTGTAGTATCGTAGTTGTTTATGTATATACTTTAGCAGTTGTTTTATATTATTATTTATAATAGTTGTAGCATGAATATTGTTTTTTGTGACGAAACTAGTCCATTATTATTGTTATTTTTGTAGCTGTTGTTATTGTTGTTGTTGCTGTCGCCATTATGCTCGGCCGTCGGGAACTGTTAATTATTACTATTCTCCGAGTGTTTTCATTAACAAACTACTTATTTACGTTGTGTGTGCGTATATTATATTGCATTTCTGAGAAAAACTTTTGTTTTTTTTTTCTTTCGTTTGTTTCTCTTTTTTCGCCAGTTTTCCACCACACGCACCGTCGTCTCCCGGTCGCGACCGTTAACCGTAGCGCCGGTAAATCAATACGACGGCGGCAGTGGCGGCGGCGGCAGCGGCGAATCCGGACGAGACGCTCGGAAATCTACAAATCGTAGCATGGTGTCGGGTTACAGTCTTTGGATCTATAAGATACGTAAACATATATAGAGATAGAGACAGGCAGACGGAGAGAGTGAGTGACAGAGATCTATTTGCTGCGTATACCTATGTAATATGTATAAATATATCTAGAGAGTAGAGACTTTTGAGCATCGCAATTCCTGTTTGAATGGCATCGTATTGTTGGTCTGCTATTGGGTGAGAGGGGGGGGGGTGTTAAGGATCGAGGGAGGACCAGTTTTGTATCTGTTTTTACGATTTTTTTTTTTACCGGTTGTCAGATTACGACACCACAACGCATAATTATTACTGTCGTGAGTCACATATTAAGTTCGCGTGCGTGGTCCACTTAAAAGGTCCTTTTCCAAATAATTGTTAGTTATAATTATTCGTGTCTATCCTATTCCTATAAAAGCCTTTGAAGTTCGTAGTGCATAATAACCGAATATATAGGGTTAAAGTTTATTATTATAAATAATAATATTATACTACTCAAAGCAGGGGCGGATTTAACAATTTACCTCCCCTATGCCAAATAAAATTTTTCCTCCCTCAAAAAATGTTCAGCCCTATGTAGCCAAATAATTTGCCGTGCCTTAAATCCACCCCTGACACAAAGTATACTCAGAGCCAAATACATCTGCTCAAGGATACCATCAAAATGTCACGTGAACAGTTTTGATATTTATCAATTATAGGTTTGGAAGTTACAGGAGCTGCATATTTTTCTATAATATGGTATCGATTCATAGTAGACTAAGATAAAAATGCATCCTACACAATGAAAAGTTTAAAAACGAAAATTTCAAATGCATTTTTCGTAAATTTTAGAAAGAAAATTGTATGCCTAGTTCTTCAATTTTTATATATTTTTAGGCATATTTATTAATTTTTTTAAAAAAATTAACTTTATTCTTTTATTATCTATGTGTATTTTAAACTCAAATGTAGGTATTTTCTTTTTGAATAACTTGTGAATAATCTAATTTGTTTACTAAAAAATAACTTTTTGATTGCATATGCTATGTTTTGTTATAATATGCTGACGGTGTACCTCCTTCACTACTATTTTTTTTCAACCACATTTTATTAATCAATTGTTTTCCTAACGGAAATCGTCCCGGATTATTATTTCTGGTGATCGGGACCTAGTGTAAACGATAAAGTACATTAAATCGGTGATATTGAATTGAGTCCCACAAATAATAAACTTTTGGGTTATCGGAGTTGAATCTGACCGATTTTTGTTAAGTTGTTAGAGTTGAGACCATTCAGGAGTTTAGCCTTTGAACATTATTCAAGAGACGGAAAATATAAGTTGGCTGAGAGTTATCTCCCAAAAATCTGTGTGATCGATTACACTGTTATACAAATTTGAAATCGTAATAAGAATAAAAAGGTTAGTTAATTATAATTATATTAAAGATAATAATATAAATAAACATTATGAAATAATAATTGTAAGTAATAAAATAATGCTTACATTTAAATAGTTGCTGGTAGAAGTTTAAATGATACTGGTTTTAAAAAGGAAAATCAGGAAAATTTGTTCATTTGTATATATTTTGTTTATCTGTTCCAGTAAAAATTGTTCCTTTTCCAATGTTTTTTTACATGGTTTTGTTGCTTTGCTTTAGTAATTTTATGTATGTATATGACTGTATTCCCAGAAGAGCTTCAACAAAAATAAAAAAAGGTTTGATGTTCTGAGTGAAATGTGCGTTTAATTTTGAATGAAAACATTTACAACCATAGAGTGGTCTGATTAGGGCTTGCTGAAAAATCACTCCAATTTTTTTTGTTTGAGAGAGAGGGGACGCTGTGTAGCTGTCCTGTTCATTCTACAAAATGTATGACTATAATTTTATAATTTAATAATATACAATACCTGTAAAAGTAGTATACATTTGTATGTTCACTGTACGATTGATTTTTTCTTAACGGTAAATACACCATTCGCAAGGGGAAATGTCCCACTCAGAGCACACTGATTTACCGTATCTCACATCACGGTGAGATTACACACTCGTTCTCAACCTATCTTTTCCACTCGTGCAAAAATATTTACCGTATATAAATTTTACAGGGAGATTTCACATTTATTGTCCACGAATTCTCACCTTACACAAAATATTTACAGCATTTTAAAATTACAGGGAGATTGCACACTCAAAATTGGTTATGCCGCTTACTCGAAATCATTTTTTTCAACCAACCTTATTATAAAACTTTTGTATTTAGAATTAATTTATAACAATAAAAAAAAATGTTTTATTTAATAATCTGTGTTCTTTACTTGAAATAATTATTTTAGTTTAAAAATACTATAAGTTGAAAAAAAATTGGCGTGTACATGGTAAAAACTTTTGAATAAGTGGCAAAACCAATTTTGAGTCCACAATCTCCCTGTAATTTAAAAAAACTGTAAATATTTTGTGTAAGCGGAGACTTCGTAAACAAAAAAATTTCAAATCTCCCTGTAAAATGCTATAAGTACTGTAAATATTTGTGTGTGAGTTGCAAATAGCTGGTGGACAACTAGTGTGTAATCTCCCCGTGATGCATGATACAGTAAAATCAGTGTGCTCTGAGGTGGATATTTCTCCTAGAACATGGTGTAATTACCACGGAGAAAAAAAATAATTGTACTGTGAACATACAAATGTATTCTACTTGTAAATTATAATGCATAGTGTTACTGCACGGATGCGTATAAAGCTTCTGAAAATTGAAATATACAGAAATCACTGCGCATAAATAATATAGAAGACAGTAATATTAGTTAATAAGTTATTACTGCGTTTCCTATTCACGCAGTGCCATTAGAAATAACTGATAACATAATAATATCGTATCTACCAATGTGTATAGGCAGAGACTGCGAAACGATAGTGACGTGATGACGCGAACCGTTGAAAAATGTATAAATGCTTCAAAAGCACCCGTCAATGGGTCGTTTAAACGCTACCACCCGATGAGTTTGGTTTTTAGATTTATGGCTGCTGAGTGGCTGCAAGCGAGATTGATTTATTCATGGGTTAATCAACGCCATTTACCTGCCAGCTTAGGTCCATTTGACGTTACATACAAAAACCTCGAAAATGGCCGTTTTGCTTCCGACGAGGGATCGACGTCATTTTTTAACTCCAGGCCGAACACCGTGAATCAATTTTTGTCGGAAATCTGTAATCACGATTGCCGTTCACAAACATAATAATATACTTACTCTTTGTTATACACACCCGAAATACCGTAGAAGTGTAGACCTATACCGTGGGCTTGCAGATGTATTTATATTATGAATTTATTTGATCTAACATCATAGACGAAATATATTGTTTTATACATATTTTCTAAATGTGCTGAATACTTTCAACGAATGTTGTTGTATCAGCGTGTATGATATAAGAACTATAAAATAAATTAAATTTTAAAGTTTTACCTAATAAACTATAATATTACATGCTGCAATGGGGTATGATCATTATTCATTCCAGCTTTAAATAGGTACTTACTGAATTATTTCAACTGTGTTATTGATTTTTTGAAATTACAAACGTTAACTATGAATAGCTATTGATTCGAGTAAAATATGTATATCACACTACTACATATATATAAGTATGTAATTAACGAAATGTAAATATTGGTTCAGAGTATAGGTATATAATATATATATATTAATATAATATATATTGTATATTCGACAAACGGTTTACAATTTATAGGTATTACATACTAAAAACAAACAATCTGTTGATTCAACCTGTTTATATTTGTTGAATATGTTTTTTGATTGGTACCTTTATTACAGCCAAGCGTGTTATACTTTCAAACACCAAATTTACACAATAAACGAACAACAGACGGGATCACGTTGCGAGCTGCTGGTATAATGTAAATATATTAGTTAATAATATACTGTGTCTGGATATTTATGTATTTATTGATTGGAAAATTAAAAAAAATTATCAAAACACGTTTAGTAATAAACATGATAAACATAGTATTAGATAAATAAAGCGGGTTTTTACTTTTAACAATAATTAATTATAAAATAATTGCTATAATATATTATATTTTCAGAATAAATTGGTATAACTTTAATGATCACGTGTTTTAGTTATTAATAAAAAAAAAAAAAACATTGAAAAATGTGCACATACTACCTAATATACTAGCTGATCCTACTCGACGTTGCTCGTGACAAATTTAATATGTAGTGCCAGTGGATTTATCCTGTCTTAAACTCAGTTTAATGTATAATGCACATATTTTTAACACAGTAATTTGGGTGTTTTTGTCCAAATACTATGTACAGGTCTAAAGTTATATAATATACATTTATAATAAACATTTTATTTCATGTAACCAATGACAACCCTATATAAAAAAAAAAGATAAATTAATATTTTGTGAGCCACCAAATCCCCGTATGAGCCACTCAGGCAAAAATGCTAAATTTAAAAATTGGCTTCGAGGTGCTCGTTATCCTCTTATACAGGATTACATAATATGTATTACATTTCAGAACTATTAGTGAGATATACTTGGCTGATGTGGATCGCTTACATACACACAAACATTGCATTTTATTTGCATAGATTATATCTATTTGGAAACCATAAATAGATGGGTCCGTGTGTTAATGTGGTGATAATCATTTATAATAGATACACGTTCATCACGACGTCCGCTGAAATGTAAATAAAAAGTTTATTTCCAAATTTAATAATATAATATTGAGAAAGGTGCAATCATCGATGAAAATTATTGTTTTAACAACAATAGGACCATTTATAGTTGAGTCGTACAATAATAATACAAACAGCCACCTATAGTTAAATAAATAATGTTGTGCATCAACGACTATATTTTATACTTAAACAATCATTTATTATATCAATAATAAATAATATTTTCAACACAATATTGTGCATTATTTATGTAAAATAATTTCCCCACTGTTGATAAATATGCACTTTTCCTAAACAATCGTTTAAATAAACAGCAAACGTTGATGTATTTAAGCATATAATTATTACGCTTAACGACTATATTATAACTTGGAAAAAAAATACAGAATAAGTTGTATATTATTAAAACAGTGATGAAACGAAAATCATTCAACTTCTGAATGCTCAAATATCAATTAAGTTATAAAAGGAAGTAATGCATTGGCAGAAATAAATTATAATTACTGCTCGAGTATACCATAAATTATAATATATACACAAAAATAAATCGATTACAAATTCAAATCGTTATTTCTGACAATTATTGACGAAATAATATGACCTAGGTACTAATTTTATTTACTTATACAAAACATTTAATTTTATTCAGATTCCAATCGAAGAAAACCATACAATTGCCTCCAAAGTGATCGATAATCATTTAATAGGAACTCAAACGAAAATACAATTTGTTCTCCTGTTACTGATACATTACAAGTCTATAGACCAACTAAACGCCTCTTTTGTATATTATGTTTATGTGTAAATGAAAATCACAGAAGTATCAATAAAAAAAAAAATGGTTAAAACGTTTAAAATAAAATGAACGAAGAGCAAATAATCTCATTATTTTTGTTATTTTGTCACAATATTTAGATAATCTTTAAGCAGTATTCTAGAACGGCAGATGTCAGAGACGTAGTCAAGACATGATCACTTGACAATTATAATATATTATGTACTTACATATTATAATTATAATTATTGTGTATCTCAATTTTTGATTAGTCGATTCGTTGTTGAACTTTAACAGCCCCCAACCCAAATTCAAAATTCTTGAGTACACCTCTGCAAATATATCGATTTTAGTTATTTTGTTGTAATTTTTTAATATTAATTCAACTGACCGGCTAATAACAATATAAATATAATATAAAATATCCACACTGACAAGCTGTTACCGCTCAGAATCGTTTTTAGTATACAATGATATTATATCATTAAATTCAAATGTAATATCATCCATAAACAGTTATACACTTGACACCTACAACTGTACAGCAGAGCTGCATCATCTTACCCACCTTTTTAGGTATCTAAATTATTATATGATAACTCTATAGCGTTTTTTGTAATTTTCTGTTCTTAGATTATATGATATAAGTACCTAGTTTTTTACAATAATAATACGACACGGATTTTTTTGATTCCATAAGCCAGGCAATACACTTGTCCCTTTATATTGTATAATAGCTGTCACCGGTGGCTTCTATTATAATACTGTTACGACCCTTCCAGGATCCCAAATAATATGTGTACGAAATTTGGTGCCAATTGGTCAACAGTTATGGAATTTAATATGCGTTATTTAGATTTAAATATAAAACCCGACTAATAATATCTATATCAACCAACTATCAATTATCATCTATCCCATATATCGTTTCCGTTTTGATTTTCAGTTGAAAATAATCTCAACAATATTGTTCTTTTGTAAAAACCAGTGGATTATTTTTTTAGTATCTAAATTTCAACTATACTTGGCTTATAATATAATATAACATAGTTAGATTTTACTCAGTAAAAGTTTTAGATTTAGGTATTTAAAATATATTTGTAATGTGTACATCAGAGTCTTACGATTACTGTGGATACAATAACAACACGTCAACATATTTAGGAATAAACTATTACATATAATATGTATAATCATTGCAACCTTATGTTATTTAATTTATTATATTTCTATAACACGATGTATGAATGTATTGTTGGTCCAAATTAGCGATATTAAAAAATAAAAAAGTGATCCTATTTACAGTATGTATGTATATATGAATATCTATATATTTATATGTATATCTATTTGCAGCGTGTGACCCACTACATATTCTTCAGTGTCAATGACTTAAAACTGCAGACCGTCCTTATCGCGAGTAAATTTAAGTGAAAATTATTTGTGAATATATAAGATAAATGTAAGTCTTAAATGTATTGTCGAGACAAGTAGATGAACTGATGTAAAATATGTCCGTCTCATATTGCATAGCCGGTGGGTTCAGGGTGTATATACGAAGACCCCAAACTTCACGTGGTGAGACGTCCTGTATATACTATTATAAATTATTCGGCAACTTAATTTAAATCTGCACAATAGTCGCGGACGAATAGAGTGAATGGGTGTGAAGCGAGAACAAAAAACATTGTCGCGTTAATGCGTTATGCAAATTTCGTACTGGCCCCCAGGGGACTTCTCAGAACTCCAGAGCAATTTTCGCGGGAGACATCCATGGTAATGTCATATTTATATTATATTAACTTCCATGAGACGAAATTGATTACACATATCAACTATACTCTAGTCAGATGCAGTGTATACGTATAATATATTAATATGTAGAAATTCGAAACTGTTAATCGCAAGCCGCATCGTCGCCATTTGTTAATGTAGATACATTATTTAATTTGTGGTAGACTTTCTACGGAAGTGCTAAAATCCGGCAATCAATATACACGTTATATAGATGGGTACTATATGGATACATTATACGATATGCTTATAGAAATCGATTTTACTAGCATACCTATAATAATTAGCTATTGATAACATTTGGACCGTGTAAACTGTATATACTATATACCAAAGATACCCAATAATTGATATTCATACAAGCTAGCTTGCTCGAGATGCGTGAAGTTAAATCCATTTCTGCAACGAGTTGTGAGATTGACGATTGACAAAATACGAAATAAAAAATCCCTAAAATCACATAACTCCTATAATAATATTCAATAATACGATTGCAGATTACTGCAGTTATATAAACATATTATTACAGTTAACAACCAATAACCTTTTTAAAAATTGTTGCATGTAGGTCGATAAAATCATATATTTACGTGATATACGTCATAAGCACATAAGTCATAACTCATAATACTATACTACTAGGTACAATATTTGTCCATTAAACACAAAAATGGTGAATTTACATTTTTATGACTATTTTGAAGTATATTATGTTAATTAAATTATATTTTAAATGCGCTTTTGAATACATTTTTATTCAACAGTTTGATACGATAGTGCATAATAAATTATATCGTACTGGTGTATTTGAATGAAGAGCTCAAGGTTTCAATTTAATTTTTAAAACTGCAAGGAAAAGTAAAAAAGTTTTTATTTTTCTAACATAACGGGATGTATAAAGTATAAACAGATGATGGGTTATATTTCTAAACGAAAATATAGTTTTAAATATTTGAAATAAACCTCACTATGACGTATAGCGAATTACCAACAAAAATAATGGGATATTATCATTATAATATTCACAGTAAATAGTGTGCATTCATTATTAGGTATCGGTACAAGTCGGATAGGTACAAATACACTTTTTATAATATAACGAGCAACGGAGAAACGATTATTCCTGTAATATTTCTTTTTCAACCCATTGGTAGTATCATTGATGATATAAAATTGGAAGGGGTTCTCATTTGAAAATAGATGTTTGTATCGCCACAGGACACTCCTTAAGTAGTACAAAAAATATCAGGAATTTGAAAATATGGTCTTTACTCTTTAGGTATACTTAAAAATTCGTGTAAAGTAATCTCTACAATTTAGTTCATGTGCACCTCTTAATAGTTATAGAAATGGGTGTTTCGCAGGGGTATGGCCGAAAATATTGAGATAGGTACCGTAACAAAGTCACGAAGATAAAATACTTTAGGTATTTTTTCTTTGTCACTATATACAGTATATAATATATTGTTATACATAAATAAGTATATATATATATATGATACATATACTCGCACATATATAATATAATATATATTTGTATATAATATAATACATAGATACCTATAACCTACATGATATCGAGGTATAATAATGCCATTATTTATATTGGATTACAAGGATTGGCTGAGTAATATCATCCTATTAAATAAAATACGCACTATTCTGTCTCATCCACATTTACATATACACACACACATAATATAAGAAAGGAATACGACTGCAAACGATCGTCATATTATACTACAATATGGTAATAAGTCTTAGTTTAGAATTTTGTGGATACGACGACGTGTTAAACGGTCCTGGTGTACATAATATCATTAATATTATTATTAAATGTGTATATAACATAATATAGTAATAATGTACACAGTATGTACATTTCATACTTAACCTAAACTATTCGATAATAATAAAATATTATAACAGTGGCTGCAGGGATTGTAACATGATGGTACATCTATTATCTAAAATTAAAAAAAATTCAATAAAACTACATGGGCTTAATTTATCAGTACTAAAAAGAATTAACATGATTGATGCTAAAAAAAATAAAACTATGAGTGAAAAACTAATCATTTAAACTAGTCATATTATACTATGATTAAATAATAGACACCTAATCATTGTCAACGATAAATATTTCACTTAGTTTAGTTTTTATTAATAATAAAATGCATTTTATCGTTAACCGTATTATAAAAGTATTTAGTTACCCATGAATATAAATTATAAGTATATAGGTATTTATATTAGGTATTCATTATACCTATATGCATTAAAACTACGAATTTTTATCTTTCGATAAAATCCGTAGAAACTTTAATCATCATTAAGCTGTTTTTTTTTTTGCACAACACTAGCTGGAGGTCACCAACACCGAAAATGATACCATGATCGGTTAATAATCATCAAACTACAGCTCGGTACAAAAATAAATGTAGTTTTAAATTTCAAATTGTTGTGAGACATTTTTCTGAAACATGAATTTCCAATAACCATATAATATAGTTTTATTATTTATTATTGTCTTAAAATTGTACATAATATCAACGAGCGTATTAATAATTTTTATTTTCATTGGGTGGTATGTATTTACATTATAATATTATTATATTGAATTATTGAGGTCAATAACATTGATAAATTTAATTTGTTTTCAATTTTAAAATGTAGTAGCTTGTGGTTTCCAAAATGTAACATTGACGCTTAAAAAAAAATTCGTCATACCCACACATGTCCTCACCACCTCAAAAATGTTTTAAGTTGAACCAATTTTGTGTTGCATGAACTATAAATTCAAATTATATATAGTTATAGGTTATAACTCATATTTTCTATCTCAAAATAATGTGATAAAAAGTATAAAATACCGTGAATGGGTGGAGCACTGGCCCAATGTGCCCCCCTTAAATACATCATGTTTATAGGTATAGGTAAATGTCGTAAGTTACTGCACAATGGGAGCAGACAGATATAAACAAATTATTATATGGACCTAAACAGCTGTATACAATAATATGATTTTGTACAATCGTGTGAAGATTTTTATTTGAGTTCGACTTGACCAAGACGTGCATCGCGTGATCACAAGGTTAGTTCTTGCATTATAATTTCATATAAAAAATTATTATTATTGATCTCATGTATCTATGCATACTGATAATATTTAATATTGCACTGTCAGGTTATACAATTAATAATATTGTTCCCAAAAGTTTATTTTTAACATCGTTCACGTTTATCTTTAACAATTTTTCTAAAACATCATAATTATTATTATAATATTGAGTTTTACAGGTATAATTATAATATGGTGGATTAACATAATCAATTAATACAAAATCCTAACCTAGCTTATTCGTACTAATATCAGATTAATAAAAAAAACCAAATTTAACCATTTTTAAATTAGCCTGTCTTTTTCCCAGAGGTCTAATACACACGCAAACATTAATTTAATTTATTCATTTATTAATCAATCACGGATTTTGTTTTCTATTTAGTAAATTATAATTGTTTGCAAGTAATAAATTATTATTATTATTATTAATTATTATTCGGAAGTCTAGAAAAAGCACTTGTTAAGAATTATGCCACGAAAGCGTAAGTCTAATCTTTCCCAAAGCTCTAATAAAGCTCGAACTATGAAAATAGCTAGATTTAACGAGACGTTTCCACAAGCCAAGCTGCGAAGGCTCGAACATTTAGAGCGTGAGACACCTGAACAGTCTCAAGTGAATTACATGGCGTCTCAAAGAGCTACAGAAACCGTTGAAGATAGGCTAATTTAAGAATGGTTATATTTGGTTTTTTTATTCATCTGATATTAGTACGAATAGGTTAGGTTAGGATTTTGTATTGATTGATTATATTAATCCACCATAGGAGGAATACGACAAACTTTTTATAACTTTGATACTTTAGAGTTAAACGGGGTCCGAGATCTACCACAGGTAAGATTGCCTACCTGATAATATACTGCTGCGAATCAGAATTTTTATTCCGGGCAACAGAAAAGTTAAAACACATTTTGAACACCATACTTCGAATATTAAATAGGTAATGAATTGAACAAAGTTTGAGTCATATAGAGTTGGTACATTTAACGGGCAAGAAAGTGCACGGGATCAGCTAGTATACTGACAAAAATATTAATACAAATCAACAAACATGGCCGATTAACCAATAGCAACCAATATATTATAATACACTGTTGCGCCACTGTTGTATTTTTTACATCCAGATTTCCTACGTTTTTAGTGGATTTTCCTAAAATTTGCTGATTTTGAGTTTATACTTATTATACAGTAGGTACTGTAGTCTTGTCCACTGTGTTTAAATCCGTTTCACTGTCATAGTAAATGTGAGTTAGGTTAAACTTGAATATTAATATAGACGATTATTATTTATAGATGTCCCACTCTCAGGTATGAGAATATTATTAAATTAAAAATATGGAGCCGTACAAGGTGTGATGATTTAAAAATAAGCATGCGCGTTGCTATTGATAAAACTTCACCTTATAATAATATATTAACTGAGATGGTATAGTTAGCTATTTTAAATGAATAATAATTAAAGGGATTTAGAATAGCGACTTCTTTTATCCTATATTTTATTACCAGTTAAAGCATATAATTATTACGATTGATTGGGATCGTGAGTTTAGATTTATAAACGAAGGCTATAATGATTTAAGATGATTTATGATGCACCTGAGTCTGCGTGTCTTTATTAACTTATCGTTGATGATAATTATATTGTTGGAATCGTATGAGTATATTATATTATAATTTCTTACCTGGTTGATGTTGCTTGACTTGAACAATGATAGAATTTAAAAAGAGAGTATTGACAATGTTAGTTTTCTTTAAATAATGTAAGTACAATTTTGGTTTGAAATAAAAGTTATTTTAATAATTCACAACAAGATATTATATGATTTGAATGAGTACGTTAAGTTAATAATCACTTTATAATTTTGGTAGTGAAATAAAACGGTGGTATGATACTGCATGTGGCAGTTTTGGATAATATGAGCAGACTGATCTGAATGTCAAAATGGGGGTTCTACTTATAGTATTGACATATAATACCTTGTTGTTCCATATTAAATTGTTATTGTTTATTTTGCATAAGTACATGGGTATAATCAAAATATGTTTTTGTAAGATTAGTGACATTTGTACATATGTATATATATATGTATATGGTTATTACTTATTAATAGTTTTTAGTACATTTTGAATAATATCAGGGTACATGGTTATAGATATTTATTATGTTTTGATAGTGTTTATTAGATATTGTATAGTAATTTGATTTCATAACGAGTATGACTGTTGTTGTTATGTATAATTTTGGGTAATATAATGGGTACATATTATTATTGTGGTTTTTTGGTAATGAAATATTTAATAGTATTATGATGATATTGAATCATGAAACTGTGTTGGTGCAATGATGTAAATATCATTACAAAGGGCAGCATACATAATATTTGTGATGTCCACTATGAATTTCCCAAAAACAAAACGTCGATAATTGTTTTTAATTTTCGAAACAATGAACATGACGTACTGTTTAAGTATCAAAAGACCTAATATTGTATTATTATGGTTAATATTATTTCTACAAAGAAGCATTTGTCCTGCTCAGTCGTGCAGATAATAATTGTATTATAATTTAATATTATAATATTACATTGTAAGAAATCCCTGAACCGCTTGTTTAAGTTATAAGCGCGTTTTACTTTAAAATAATGATAATAATAACAATAATAATAATTGTAGGTACATACAGTAATGTCTTACACGTAACGAGACAATTTGTTTACTTAAAATGTGAGTTTATGGTGCAGCGACAACTGTTTGAAGTTTCTAATGACAAAATAAACAAATGTTCGTATATACAGTGAAGTATATAACACCATATTTTCACTGTCGTATCACGGTTTGAACTTTGTTATGAAGTTCGTGGTACTTCAGACAAGTTATAGGAGTACATTCGTTGTACCGCGAGGCTAACCTAACCTAACCTAACCTACGTATAATTCTGTATAATAATATAAAATACAAAGTGTCATACCACGTGTTTGTCCAACATTCGATGATGGCATGCTATTTTGTTCTCAAAAAATGGTCAATTGATAATATTGAAACACTATTTTCGTTAACATAACAATACGTAGGTTTACCGAAACTTACTATTATAATAATAATAATAATAATAATTATGTGTAGATAGCGTTATGTATTGAATTTGCTTTATCATACGACGTTTAACACGATAAGCAATTTGTATATTGTTAAAAATAATTGTGTGGTTGTATCTAATATTATGTTTATAGACTCTATAGACCCAAATCAACAGCCATGACCGCTGACAAAATAATTTTTCTCCGTTTAAAAAATGTTTTGTTAATTTTACATGTTAAATTATAATATATTATTATTAAACAATACCCTGCCATTTGATGAAACTCGGTCTTCGAGAAACCAGATTTTAAGAAAAATATTTTGTACAATTTAATTATTCTACGGATCACAATATACCTGTGCCTATTAATTATGTTATTCGTCCTATTAGGATACCTATATATGAATAAGATTGACTAACATTTCTATGTGGAAAAATTGATAGTTTCGTAGGGTATATCAAGAAAACTTTAATAACAAATACCTATAATATAATTTACTAAGATAACTTTTTTTTTCATTAGTTCATAGTAAGTCATTGATGAGCCTCACGAGAACTTGTCATGTTATTCTATAGCCTTGACCGGAATGAACTTCGTGAGTATATGATGTTCGGTATATTATTCTCGTCGCATTTCCACTTTTAAAAGAACTGCAATATTTTTCAATTTTGAGGTAATATATTATTCTCTTGAAATCTAAGTTCAGTCTTCAGTGTGAAGTAGTTCAGTTGTTTTTAGTTTATGTTCATTTATCAGCGGAAGTATTTTGTACTTGATGTCAAAATATAAATATATATATAGGTATTTATAATAATAACTAAAAATCAAGAAATGTGTTCCCATATATTGTTATAAACAAATGCTAAGTACCTAGTTAGTTAAAATTAGGAATATTTAATTTCAAAACAATAGTTGGGTAGCTATTTTTTAAATTATAGCCTATAAGATTTCCTTAGAATATTATTTCTGCTTGTTGACTGTTGTGTTCATATTCGATAGAATGATAATACTTTAACGATAAATATGATAATTATTACAAAATAATAATTTAGATCTTTTCATCTTTATATAATATAGTAATTTATCAATACTAAATTTACTCTCAGTGGACGGAGTGGCCGAGTGAATTACGGTGCCAATTCCCAATCGTACCGTCGCTGGTTCGAATCTCGGCCACGGGCGTCTCCTCTCCCTGGACAGGCAACTGTCTAAAGAGTGAGCCCGCAATCCCCCGACCGGGCATGGCAAAAACCTACGGGTGCCCAATTGAAATTCTACTGAAACCTAAAAACACACGTGTTTCAACCAACCATGGTCATACTTGACGGGTTAAGCTTAATAATAAAAAAAAAAATGTTACTTTGAGCTCTATCTCCATCTACCCACCTTTTCAGACCATTATGACCATTATAATATTGTGCTGAAAAGGTAGTTTTTGTCTGAAATTGGAAATATTCTTATCGTTTTTCTTATCCCATTGGTCGCCTTTAAATGCCATAACTAACATATAATTAGCGTATTACTATGATAGGTACATATTATAATATAATATAATATATTGTGTGTGTGTGTATGTGTGTGTGTGTGTGTGTGTGTGTGTGTGTGTGTGTGTGTGTGTGTGTGTGTGTGTGTGTGTGTGTGTGTGTGTGAGGGATAGAGAGGGAGAGATTTAGAGAGAGTGTGGGTGGACTCATACACAAGCTCGTAATTTGGATGGAGAGAGAAGTAGTTAAATGTGTTCACGCATTTTTTTTTTTTGTAAAATGACTCCTTTGCACAATTTTATATTATGTCAGTACTTTGTATAATTTTCAAATTTATTTTTAAATGTATCAATTATCAAGGGAAAATTGATGTCAATATGTTTTATTCAAGGTGTATATATCCACCTTGGTTTTGTTAAAAAGTACAAGTGATAAGAAATAGATAATACTTTATTATGTTATCACCTATCGCTTATACAAATTATAATCAAAAGTGGCTGTAATTGTATGTGTTCAGCAAGTCCTAATCGTTGATTAATGGCAATAATATAATACATTATAAACATTTATAATATTTCATCATAATAATATTAAAACAAAAATTAAGTCTAAAATGTTGATTCTTAGTCGTTAACATTTCGCATATAGGTACTATATAATAGGTACCTATATTGAATGTACATACCATAAGTATCACCTATTAAAAAAACTAATATTATTGCAAACGCTTTATACCATGTGGCCAATGATTGTGGTTTTAAAATGGACAACGAATATTTTGTCTTCGCCAATTCAGAAACTGAATAAGAAGAAAAGTTAACTATATAAGAAAACAATACATTCATCATTTTTTCATTATAATATAATAATTGTATTTACAATCGATATTGGGTTACTCTCGTAATGTATAGCCACATAAGGTATACCTATGAGATGACAATTTTTTCTTTATTTTATTCGTAGGTGGCCGCATTGACATCATAAAATATCGACTTGACGAACGCAACATGTCGATGGTAATGAATCGTCTCGTATAATGATAATCGATCTCTGATAATCGATATAGAATCAAATAAAGAATTAAATACTCTATATCATGCTATCTCTG